TTTTTAAAATTACCGAGCTACACAGTGTAATTTTCTTGTGAAGGGGTGTCGCTTGACACCCCTTTGGTGCATGTGGCTCTGCCACTGACCTTACCCCTACCTTATAAAGGTAGAGAGGCTGTTTCCGAACTCCTATTACAAAAGATGTTTAACATATATTGGTGAAATTAAAATATCCACACAAGAAAAGAGAAGAGATTATTGGTGTTACGGCTGACCTTCTGCTTCTCATGGATAAAATTGCTAACTCTATACCAGCCTAAATATGAATTAAATGAAATCAACACTTGGATATACAAGTGCCTCCACAAATATCAAAGGACTAACATTGTTTCAACAGTATAGGAGAACAGAATCATACTTCTGAGATCAAGGCTTTTGTTTTCTTCACCTTTCTTTCATAAAGAAACACAAGTCTCCGTATTATGAGATACTTATGAAGTGCTCGAGCATATGAATTATAATTACACGGAGATGTCAAATACTTTTGGGAAACAGAAGATGATATAAAGTACAAAGAGTCAGACACAACAGTTACCTGAAGTTTGTTTGAGCTGGAGTAAACTCTAGCAGCATTAAGTTCAGTAAGTACTGTAATTAAGGGGAACTTGTTATCATCCAAAAACTGCAAGATTCCTTCTGTACTGAAGGTTCCTTCTGCAAAGCACATTTGATGCGAATAGTGAGGTTATATTAAGCAACACAATTCTACTGAAAAAGAAGAAATCAAGTTTAGATTCAAACATGACAGCAATTTTCCTAGTCATCAAGGAATGATATTTCCATCTATCTATACAAGCTTTTATCTATCCAATGAATAAGTAGTTGTAGATTTAATTGCTCCTCTTCAGGCATAGTCAGGAACAACCATCCATTGTGAGAGAATGGTAATGCTTGAGCAAGAAAAGGCTGTAAAAAGCAACTCCAGAATCTAAAAATAGAAAACATACCATATTCAGTGTATTTTTCTGGCTCACTTTTAACAAGACCAAGGAAAAGATTGGTTGGCTTAAAATTGGGGAAGAGGTGCTTGGCAATCTCTGCATTGCTAGTTTCCACAAACTGGATTTCATTGTCCATTTTGGCTGCTTTTGTAAATTCATCATAATAATGTCCCTGTGTGATTATACATGAGGCAATTTGCATGTCAGAAGCAAATTCCACAATTTTTTTTGTTCAGTAACCTGTTTATATTTTGCTGAGATGCGGGAAATTCGACTAAAACAAGAAGCAATGTAAACACCGCAACTGCCGTTACTTATCTTTTATGCACTATAAAGCAGAAGACTTTTATATGAAATGATTTTAACCAAATCCAGAGTGGTTAAATGATTGAAATGGAGGAGCGTTAGAGTAGTATGCTCATGTGCTACCGATAGGAAGATACCAAATAAAGTTAAAGGCATGATTGATTGATTGATAATTCCCGATGCCAAGATGTTGAAAAGGGCTTCTTTCAATCAAACCTAATGCTCAGTTTAAGATTTGAAGCCCCTAGAAAACGTAGTACATTTTAACTTAGTAGATATGATAAATTCTTTCTTTCAATTTTGTACGGATAATTAAACTACACAAGTTTCCTGACAATTATTTTAGATGTATCAACTAGATGCCAAAAGAGAAGAAAGAACAAGTAAGAGATTTCAGGAACTAAAATGTTACCTCAAATTTATCAAAAAGACCAACCACAAACATGGAGTACTTCTTGAGAAAGTGGCTCGCCTCAGCATCCGAGCTAATTCTAATAACAGGTACCCCTGTCTTCTTCCTTGCCCAGATAACAAGTTCTTCCCTGATTGACATGGGATGCCACAGATATAAATCAACTAATTTGATGCACATACAAAGAGTACAACATAAAGAAGCTACATAAGTTTGTCCTCCTAATCTTATTAACTTACTCCAACAAAATAATGAAAGAGTTCAACTTCTGTGCACCGAACTTACACAGTAAAACATACTTGCACAATCTAAATCATTTATTAGACAATTATATGTAAATCTCTCAATTAACAATAATTTGATAAACTAGTAAAAATAGTATAACTAACAGGTTAAAATTTAGAAGAATTAACCTAAATAGTCGCTCCCCCAACATCTTAAACTAAAAATAGCCGTTGATGTACGTGTATAACCGCATATAATGAACAGTACATAACGAATCCAATCGGCTATTTGTGTAATGATCCCTAAAATTTACACCGTGAGTATACATAACATAAATAAAATGCTTACGCGGAGAATCCACCAGTATAAGGTTGAGAAGTGCCGTTAACAAACAGAAGCAGAGTGGGGAACCCTTTGATATCAAGAGTTGAAGCAACCTTAGGGTAACGTTCAGCATCAATCTTAGCCATTAAAAGATGACTTCCCAATTCCTTAAGAGCAGTAGCAGCCTCAGCAAATTTCGGCATTAGCTCAGCACTCCTTACGCACCACGGCGCGTAACCCAAAACCAGTACATACTCATTCCTATCAATTGCCCTTTTAGTATTGTCATTGTTTAGCTCAAGTACTATTCTTTGGGCCTTACTTACAAACTCAGATTCAGCGTTTTGCTGATGTGAATCTTCTTGTTCGTCCAATGCTATGAGTTCTTCCAAAGCTTCCACGTCATCACCACCGTCATCAGATAAATCCAGCTCGGACGATATTGACGGAGCCAAGAAGCTAAGCAAGAGAAGGAGGACTAAGGAGCAAAGGATAAATCTTGAAGTGGGCTTTGGATTATACATGATAAAGTATTTGAGTGTAAAGATCAGTCAGTTCTTGTTGGGATTTCTAGTTTTCTACTGAAAAAAGCTGCAACTTCGATTAGGATCTATGTGGAATAAGGTGATATTTTGAGTGATGAAAATGTGGGGGAAAATGTTGAAGATCCAAAAGTGATGAAGTGAGAGAGAGAATGAAAAAGGAGGTGAGGACACGGAAGAAGTGGGGGGCGCATCGCTGAAACAGTTTGACCGGAGTTTATATATAAGTACAGTAGTTAAATTTAACGTCAATCGCGCCACCGTTTAGCGCTATCCCTCGACTAACATTTATTTTAAGAGATTTTACCGCTTGCATTGGGGAACCGACGTTTGAAAATTTTACAATATATATTATTCAAATTATAAACTTATTTATATAATTGAAATCTTCTCGGAAAAAATCAAGTTGTTATGTAAGTTGTTTCTGCAAGCTGCTGTGTAAGTTATTACTATATCGAATATAGATAATCTTATATCGGGGTAATGTTTATTCATAATAGAGTACCGAAAGGATAAGCTCATTGTACCAGATATAGATAATCTTTTATAAGGGGTAATATTTATCCATAACGGGGTACTGAAAGAATAAGCTCATTATACCAGATATAGATAATCTTTTATAAGGGGTAATATTTATCCATAACGGGGTACTGAAAGAATAAGCTCATTATACCAAATATAGATAATCTTCTACGAGGTGATGTTTATACATAATGGGGTACTGAAAGAATAAGCTCATTATACCAGATATAGATAATCTTCTACCGGGAGTGATATTTATCCATAACGGAGTATCGAAATGATAAGCTTCTTCGTGAAACTTATTTCCAATAGAGTACTAAATAGATAAACATATTTACGGCGAAATCTCATATAGATAAGCTTATTTTTTCCAATAGAGTACTAAATAGATAAACATATTTACGGCGAAATCTCATATAGATAAGCTTATTTTTTCCAATAGAGTACTAAATAGATAAACATATTTACGGCGAAATCTCATATAGATAAGCTTATTTTTTCCAATAGAGTACTAAATAGATAAACATATTTACGGCGAAATCTCATATAGATAAGCTTATTTACAACGGAGTATTAAATAAACATCCATAATATAATATATTTATAACACATAAAATATTTCTTTTTGTAGTTGCAGGAAAAATATTACGTAAATACTAGCTTGACTCCCAATTCCATAATTAGGACATCTTCAATTATTTACGTAAGCGGCTACACAAATTAGAACTTGTAATGTCTCATATTATCGGTCGTGGTTACTAAAAATAGTTGTCTCAATTTGTCACTTTTTTTGTTTAAGACAACATTAATTATTTTTTTTCTTTTTCTTAAAGACTAAAACACTTAACTTTGTTCAAATACCAGAGAAGAAAGATTAAATATTAAGACATGAATAAAAATAAAGTAGTCAAAAATTTATCCTAATTAATTTTTTTTTTAAGAGGCGTATACAGTAGAATCATGACAGATAATATGAGACAGATGGAATAATAAATAGATGAGGAGACAGATGGAATAATAAATAGACGAGGATGAAATCATTCTAACTGAATGGAGAAGAGTTAAATTTAATTTGAAGAATTAGTAAAAGTTAAACCCCATGAAGAATTAATTCTCCCTTGATAAAGTTAAACTTCTTTTATTTCCTACTTAAGAATGCTTGAAAGAGAAAGTCTTAATCTCATCAGTCCCTTCGTTTTTCTTTTTGCAACTTTCCCTTGTGTGTATAATAACTCAAATTAGTTGAATAATACTAGTAGTTTGTTAAATTGGATAACATATACTATATTGTTTCGGCTTCCAATTTAGGTTAGTAATAATTTGTTAAATTGGATTACAATAATGAATTTTTTGGATCTGATCCGGCTGGATTGAGCTTGGACTGTGGTCTCTACTCAAATTAGATTATGACCTAAACCAGTCTAAACAGTCACAAAAAAGTTGAACACCGCTTAACAAATAAAGCAAATATTAATTTGGGATAGAATCTGGCCATCACCTCATATCCGAACTCAGTGTACAAGTAGAATTGTGACAATAAGTCAAATACTACTAGCACAAAATTCCATGCACTAGATTTATTCCGCTGCTAGCTCCTCGGATCAAGCTTACATTTCCCAGAGAATGTATAAAAGTAGAAAGATGACTAGTGCAGTTTTCAGTTTTGAGCTTTAGAATTGCTAGACCACTTGTAAGATATAATCTTCGCATCTCATAGTAGTATGATACCTGGAATAAACCTGATGTATGCTCATTGAAAAATCCAATCAAACTTATGTACACCATTCAGCTTACAGGCAACAACTTTTACAGTAGCATCTAAGGATTCAAGAGGAAAAGCTATCTTATTCATATGAAAGTATTTCTCAAAATTGAACTAACATTTACAACAACAACAACAAACCCAGTATATTACCACAAGTGGAGTCTGGGGAGGGTAGTGCGTACGCAAACGTTACCCCTACCTAGTGAAGGTAGAGAAAATGTTTCCAATAGAAACTCGGATTAGAAAGAGTGAGAAGACGAGGAGGGAAGAAGAAGAAGAAAGAGAAAAGGGAAGGTAGAGAGTCTGTTTCCAAGAGATAATTTTACAGAAGGTTGCTGCACACAAACTGGAAACAAAGTAGGCATTCAGTAATTGTGAATTCAGCTGTAAACACAAGAATTCTTCTTGAACTTGATGGGTTTAGAGCTAGTAGAGTCAATGACCAAATCACACGAAATCTGCTTTTTGTTCTTCGTCCTCACTAATTTCCCCACCACATCTCCACGCGACCTGATTTCAAAGTCCAATTTTAATGGAACTTTAAAACCACCATTATTTGATGCATCAAGACCTGATCCAGCTCCATACAAGGGAAACTTTGTTGATTCTATGTTCACTAACACAGCCCGCCTACTCTTCCTGGGTTGATAATATTTTTTTAACTGCAAACCAAAGAAAAAATGAAGATTATGAAGGTATAAAGGCATTGGCTGAATTTCTCGACAAACTTCAAATATTTGTAAAATAAGGCGTTTGTCAAAACGAGGAACCTAAGATCAACTTAAGTGGTGACCTATCAGTCGATGAAATTGATGAAAACCATGGGAGATAAAAGTTCAAATTCCATCATAAACAAAAAACACTATGTGATTTCTCGGAATGGTGGGCAGACTACTCAATGTCTGAGGTAAGAACTATCCAGTAGAATAGTTGGGGTGCGCGCAATGGTGATCCGAACATTACCGTTATAAAAAAAGGTCAACTTTAGTATTGTTGTTTCTTCATTTTTCAACTCCTAATACAGGAAACTGAGAATGACACTGCTGACCTCTCTAGTCCACAACTTGGTACAGGTACATACAAATCATTTAGCAAAGAGAAGGTAGAACACCAAGAAGGAGAGAAATTGTTACCAAGAAAAGGAAACGAAGAAATATGCCGAGAAATTACCTGACCAGAGGCAACAGTGATATCTGAGTAGATGAGATTGACGGGGGTGGAGCTAACATGAATGCCATAGAATGTAGCAGGATTGTACACGCTTATTCTCAACGAGCCGTTCACTGTCATCATCTTAGTTACAACTCCAGAGAAGTCCGAACCTTCACCGATGTAGAAGTTATTCACAGCTAAACTCTGAAAAAAGAAAAACATACAAATATAAAATTAGTCAACTTTCTTGAACTGAACTCACAATAGTTGATTTTTCCATTGAAACATACTAACTGGGGACTGCTGTTGAATATAACCATGTCAATTTTGGATTTCACAGCTACTAATTCAGGAGTAGTTCAGTAAGTGTGAGGATGATGAAAGTGGCGGTTGTATTAGGTTAAGTAGTACCATTACAAGCTTGAAATCACGCAGGAATTTCACACAACTACATTCCTATCCACTCTATTTTTTCTAAACCTTATTTCAATAATATAACTTCACCTGTGTGAGCTTGATCATACGGTAAATTCCAAGTTCGAATAAAAGAGGAGGATTGTGGTAGGTTTACAATCAATATAAATAGATGGAGATTGAGGATATATATCGCCCACCCCAATTTGCTATTTAAGGATTGAGGTGTAATTGTTGATGCTGTCAGTGGTGGAGCCACAATCAAGGAAGGATGTTCAATTTAATTCCTTCATTAAAAAATTCTACTGCACAATTAGGGCATAAATAATTTTTTTCGGATGTATATAAACTTTTGATTCCCCTTGACATAAGGGAAGTTCTCATTATAGTGACAAATGTTGTTTAAAAAATTATTTTAGGTTGTAAGTTCTAATCCCCTGGTTCAAATAATATTATTTTTTTTAGTGCTGAAAGCAGTAGAACCTACTACCTACTACCCATGGCACAAAAGCCAAAAGTACTGCCAACGAAAGAAAGAAAGAAAAAAAAGCAGAGAAAACGTTCCCAATTAATTGGACTTTCTAATTCTGTAATCATTTACAGACATTAAATCTAGGCTTCAACAAGCCATTTCTCAGAATTGACATTTTTTGCAGACAGCTTAGCATCTTTCCTAGCAACTACACCCTCATATTCCGAGTAAATTTTATGGGTAGTCATTCAACTTTGTGTTCATTACCCAAAAAATATTTTTCTTTCTTTTGTTACGTAAAAGTCATTCAACTTTGTGTTCATTACCCAAAAGTCATTTTACTATGCTCTAGTTATCACAATAATCACTTTGACCAAATTTTACAAACTTTTCACCTGAAAAGTCTATTATCCCCTTGACATTATAAATCCTCTCATATATGTAATACCTTCTATATTATAAGCTATACAATATACTTTTATCCAGATATTTTACTTATAACTAAAATAACTTAATATTATTTTATTTATTATTTTTATAATATATTCGTATATTTAATTTTTTCTTAATATTAATTTTCAAGATATATAAGTAGCATTATTAATTTTGTCAGTAACACTACCGTGAACAAATATCAAGTCCACTTTCTTAATCATGCTTAATGAAATATGTTTAATGAAAATTAAAAAATCAAAGCTCATTGATTTATCAGCCAAGCCATACCCATTAATATAATAAATAAAATACCCACATTTAGCAAAATGACACATTAGATTAATACTTTCAAATAAATAATATTAACAGATAAAGCTTTAAAAAACTTAATATTAAACACAAATATCATTTGTTAAACAAATCTGTTTTTATTATTTTAAATAAATATTAAAAAATAAATATTTTTTTATCATTTTTATATTTAAAATATGTTCATGTTTGAATATGATTAAACAAATTGAGTGCCATGGAAAAATGAAATGTATGGTATATAGTAAAATACCTAGATAAAAATATAGTATATAGTATATAATATAGAAGGTATTACATAAATGAGAGGATTTATAATGTCAGGGCATAATAGACTTTTCAGGTGAAAGGTGTGTTTTGGTCAAAGTGATTATTGGGATAATTAGAACATAGTAAAATAATTTTTGTGTAACAAAAAAAAGAAAAATAACTTTTGGGTAATGAACACAAAGTTAATGACTTTTAACTGACAAAAGAAAAAAATTAACTTTTGCTTAATGAACACACCCATGAAATTTACTACAGTATTCCGAACACTAAACTTTCAAAACAGAGGAAACAAACCCACTTCTTTTCCCAAATAAATCAAAAAAATTACTCATTCTATAAGGGATGTTGGGTAATAAGTAAAAATAATTTTCGGATAAAAATTTAATACTGCCTTATCCTTGATTGGTAACTAATCATAGATAAGTTATCCCGTAATTTTTAAAAATAGTAACAGGATAACTTATAACTTTCAGGGGATACAATAGTAATTGAATAATAATTACAGGATAAAACAGTAAAATTGTTTTATAATCAATAAGAAATAAAACTAGCATAATTAAACACCCCTAAAAGAGTAAAGAAACATACCCTGACAGTAATCTCTGCCTTGTACGGACGTCCAGCGCCCCAAATGATAAGGCAAAAGATAGAAAACAGAACAATAAATCCCAATAGAGCCAACAACGCTTGACACCGCCGAGTTACTCCCTTATCATCATCATATTCGTCATACTTACCCTCTTCCATAATCACATTACATTCCGGCCACCCTTTATCATTCCTTTTCCGGCCATTTTTCCGGCCGGACGACGACCTAAAGATGCCGGAAAATCGACTAGCAGAAGAATTCCGAGAGTGGCGTCCAAATGAAGGGTGTGAGGGAGATTCCATTGGACTATTGAAACTGGGTGTCGGTTGCATATATGTTGATTTGTCCCCATCGTGTGAATCTCTTGACGGACTTTGTACGTAGTAAACTGGCCTTTTTGGTGACCTTGACGGTGAAGATGGAGCTAAACTTGTAATATCTGACTCTGATTTTGTGTGCAACATTTTTCAACAAATTAAACCTTGTATAATTGTAGTAGTAGAATTCTGAACAAGACTATATTCAATTAATTTTGAATAAGCTCGTGAAAATTTTAAGGAATTCTTCTCATATGCTAAAAAACCACATGAATTGTGTGATTTATAGTGTGTTTTGTATGATTTGCATGGGAATTTTTTTAATCGGCAGAGTAAAGAAATGCTTTGTAAAGAAACAGAGAAGCAGCAGAGCAAGTAGAGTAAATGAAGACCGAGAGACAAGTAGACGGAGGTTTGGAAGGCGTCCCGACACCGAACCTGATTCCGAGCCTAAGCAATATGGTTGGTTCGGAAATAAGTGTCGGCAGCCTCTTGTCACTGTCGAACCCGATGGAATAATAAACAAATTAAAGCTCTTTTTTGGGGGGAAACAAATTGTTGTGGTGTTGAACCAACTTATTAAGAAATGATTTTCTATCTAATCAGTTACCGACTCCCTTAATCTATTTTATTTTTGATCCGTTTAAAAATAAATACTCTTTTCTAAATTTGAAAACAATTTTGCTTAAACTTACAATTCTACCCTTAATGAGAAGCTTTTATAACCACACAAATACTCTATGCCCCTTTTTGAATTGTTTAAGACCACAAATTCCAAAAGTCTTCATTTCTTCTTAAACTCCATGCCCAGTCAAACATGTTTACATAAATTGAAATGGAGGGAGTATAATTTAATTAATCAGAAATTAATCTTGTAAGAATTTTATAATTTTATTTACTAACCGTCTGTAAAATGTGTTATATAACTAAAATAATATTACACCATAAAATCATTTTTTTCCAAACTTGTGCTCTGTAATTATTCTATCAAATATCAGCTACTTTCCATTAAACTAAGTTAGACAAATAAAAGAAATCCACTTAACATTATATGTCTTTCTAAGAATAAATCTTTAGTTTATATCTCATTTTATTAATACTCAATACGTATAGGGCACCTTTGGTGCAACAAATTCATTAAAGTTAGGTATTGATAATACTTTTGAATTTTAGACAAGCTACTTAATTTAAATCTTTCAATTTATTATACTTGTTCACTAACCACTGCCCTATTCTGATACTTCTGATCTCTTCCTCTTTTTCTTTTTTCAAATTACGAAAGCAAGTAAATGTCAAGTGCCAACTACTTTACGACTGTCACTAGATTTTTTTGTTAGTTGCATTGTTTAAAATGTCTCAATTCACAGATACAATAATGTGTCAATTTACTAAGATATAATAATGTCTCAGTTCACTAAGATTAAGTCTATCAAAACTACAAATCCTTAGTTAGTTACACCAAGCAGTGTAAAATTTATACTATCTTGTAGCAAAACAAAATATTGAAAAATTGTGTTTTATTATAGTAGATAAAGACCAAAGAATAAAATTGTGCATCAATGAAGTGTCATCATACACAATCAATATTTCACTATCAACATATGAATGTATATATCGTTTTCAAATTATTATTACATGTAAATTAATATATTTGATCCTGTAAATGCACAATATTTTCTCCTCAACTATTGATCTATATAGGTACAAATATTACAAATGTAGGCGTTTCCATATTATGGAACCTAAAACTTTTTAGAAATAAAACCAGTCCATTATGAGAAATCAAACTTTAGAAGCTGTTGCTTAGCTTGAGGAGTGGAATTATTACGGATTAATTCCACAAATAAAATCTTCCTAAGATTTATAAGGACAAAGACTAATGTCATATACTTTCTTTTTGCTGATATGGGACAGAGAAGTGGACAATAACAGCGAGAAAGCAGTTGGGTGATGGAAAAGGTGGGTCATTTAATTTATTATTGAACTGGAGTTGGAGGGATGCAATCCAAAGATGACATTGCCATGGGCCACTTTTATTTTTTGGCTTCTCATTCCGGGGATTTGAATCTATACTCAATTTTTGGGTCACATTTTAACTTATACCCGCTTTGCAAAAAAATTGCAAGCGAACCCACTTTTCGGATAACTTCAGACATACGGGCCTGAAGTAGCAAAAATTTATGTCTGAAGTTTGAACTTCATAATGTTTTGCCTGAAGTGTAGCCTTATCAAAGCAAAACTTCAGATATTTTTGCCTGAAATTTGGCCTGACTTGCAAAGGCAATCACGCAAACTTCAGTTCATAGTACAACGGCAAACTTCAGTTCAATAAAACTACAACATGTTTTGGCTGAAGTTTTCTTCAGCTCCTAGAATGCTGAAGTTCAGCAGCAATTACAAAACAAAACTTCAGCTCCTAGAATGCTGAAGTTCAGCAAATACAAAACAAAACTTCAGCATTCTAGGAGCTGAAGTTTTTGTTTTATATTTGCTAAACTTAAGCAGTCTTAGAGTTGAAGTTGTGTTCTGCCTTTCTTTGAAGTTAGATGGCTTTAAAATATAACTTAAGCCAAATTGTGCTGAATTTTTAACTGATTTTTTTAATAATGTTCTGTAGTTATTTTTCCTATCTTTTATTTTTCAGTTCTGCAGCCCTTTTCTGTCGTTTTTCCTGCATATGATATCATAAAGCAATGGATAAGCTAATTCCAAGAGATCGCGATAGCAACTATTGTGTATAATAAATTTCACATGCATGTGCCATTCTTGTGGCAGGTAACTTGGAAGAGAGGACATGTAGTAGTCAGTTGCTGTTGACACAAATCACACCTACTTTAACCAGCTTGTGGAATTTTATTTACTCGTCCTTCAATATAGAATATGGTAATTGATAAGATTTAATAAAAACTTTACAGATCCAATCAATAATACTTATACAAAGTCTCATGTGTTTGAGAGAGAAAAGAAGAAGAGGAAAAGAAGAGGAGGAAGAAAAGAGCGCATAGGTCAGGAGGAAGAAAGGAGCGCATAGATCAGGAGGAAGAAGAGGAGGCGTCCGAAGTTGTCAAAATTAGGGTATAGGTTAAAGAATTTTAAAAATATGGGTATATGTTAAATAGGGGCGACCAAATAGGGCGCCAGTGCAATTTTTACTCTCATTCCTTGTTCGGTATTTATACCAGAGCTTGATCAAATATCGGGAAGTCTTATATTGGGGACTAAACATTTTTCTAATAAAGATGATTTTATATTTAGAGCTTAAACGCGAGATTCCTGATTAATGATAAAAGAGTACTTACCAGATACTACTCCACCGTAACTACGCGCCATGGGCCACTTATTAAATCGCATGTAGCCGAATTATATAACACTCTGACACTACACCCACTACAATCCTTTATCACAAATTCATATTGTGTCTTGTACTTTCACCCACTTCATCGTTTTCCTTTCTTACCATCTCCCCCTAGATATATATTTCCATGAAAACCCCCCTAAATTTCATCCATAGAAGTAGATGACCAGTTTTCCCGTTTGGACAACTAAACAAGAACAAAAATTAACGAAAAGGAAACCAATTTCCACAACGGTGGAGGAACAACTAAATGTGTCTTCATTCCATTTCATTTGATAAGAAGTTTCATTTACTTTAAAAAAAACAAGACTAAATTGCGAGAAAGCATCAATACGTGTTTATTGGGCTTTTCATTTATTTAACATATAAACGGGCGGGAAGCTATTGTGTGTGCCAGTTCCCAATATGGCTTCCATAATTCATACATTTGATTTAACACTGGACAGTGGCGGGGCCACCTCTTGCCGAAAACTATAAGGTAGATAGGTAATTTGTTTTTATGTATTTATGCTAATATGTTCAATTCATTTAACTATTTCGTGCATTTACCTTTTTAAATTTTGATTCTCTTTAACTCTGACATTGACACTACACCGTCGTTGTATAATTATTCAACTGTTTCTCGGATTCTCAATTTGATCCTTGTTCATGCCTATGATTTTCTCGACTAGTAAAACAAATTGGCGTGGGGTCTTAGCGGGCACATATGACCTCAAATCAACGTCAATCTTTTTCTTTTCTTTTTGGTAATTTAGAGTTGTTATTTCTATTAATTTTCTGTTTTGGTCATTTGGGCTCAGAAATACGATACAGATATCCCTTTTAAGGGATCTGGTTGATGCAGGCTGGGATCCGGTTTCCAGTCCATCGTCCAAAAGAAAGTTCTCTAGTTTTTAAGGTTTGAATAATTTTTCATTTGATTAAAATTTTTGTAAAGGATAAAAAATGTGAGTTCTAATATTTTGAATAAGAAAGATAAGAATAAGTCAGTCAGACTATCTTTTGCGAATTCAGAAGCAGTTACATATGAATGTCTAATAAATAATACGCCCACGAAAACAGAANGGGGGGGAATAACTTGATAATTTTGATAAAGAAAAAGAGATCATGTAAAGCACGAATTATAATTTAGGTCTCGTAAGCTCTATCCTCAACATCATTATCCACTAGGGCATGACAAAGAGAGAGAAGGTTAGGAAATAGAATATAAGGTTAAAATGTACTTTAGGTGAGTAGGAACAAGACACAGTCGTATGTGTCAGCACAAGATGTATATAGAATATGTGACCTTTACACTTTAGCTGAAAAAGGAATTGGTGACGAGATTTTCTATACAAATCTTTTTAGTGTTCTACTCACTCCTTTCATATTCTTGCTTAGAGAACGAGCAGGGGAAGGTTCCTTTCTTCATTTCTTGATTTTAAACACCAAAGCTAGTTAGTAATATATTACTGAGTTTGCTTCCACTAGCTAAATTGGGATCTTCTACTTCAGAGCAATAGATAGAGAGAGACAAAGAAAGTTGGCAATATGTTGGAAGGAAAAGCTGTTATTGAAGATACAGATATGCCATTGAAGATGCAGATCCAAGCCATGCGTTGGGCTTCTCAAGCTCTGGATCTTTATGATGTTTTGGACTGCAAATCTATTGCTGCTCACATAAAGAAGGTAGCATTCCAATCATTTTTTTTATCCACAAAAGACTGCCATTTTCTCCGATTTACGGTTTGCAGCGTATGACCATCTCCTCTAACGCCTCTTAGAAAGAGTGCGTTTTCATTTTCTTAATTATACTATTATGTTTCAACATGTCCCTCATGTGTGATCTTAGTATTTTGTATGGGTCAAAAACGTAAAAACATTTTTTGCTTTTGGATAGCGGTGCACAAAAGCAGTGCTAGGATTTGAAGTGTGTGGGTTGTAAATATTAAGAAATGACCGTGACCTAAAGCTTGTGTTATTTTTTTATGAAAAAAAAAGAAAAGAAACGGGGTAAAAGCACAATAAAATTCATTGTTTTTAGATTCGAACCTGCATGTCTTCCATGAGATCCCAAAGCCCTTACCACTGAATCCATATGCCTTTTCGGCGAGATATTTTTATGTAAGCAGTGAATTTTTCAATACAAATACAGGGTTCGAAAAGTCACTGGGTTCGCCCGAACTCGCACCCACTACTGTAGCTCTGCCCCTGGCGGTGCAATTTGAACCTAGGCCATATCCCGGCTTGCTCTAATGAATTATATGATCATCTCATATAAAAGGTTAAGTTGTTATAGACGGGGGCGGATTTAGGGGGGCGGATTTAGGGGGCGGAAGAGGGTTCATCTGAACCCTCTTCGCCGAAAAATTACACTGTATATATAAGGAAAATCTATTTTTTACATCTATATATTAAGTTTTGAACCCCCTTGGCACAATCCAAAAGTGTAGCTTAGTGGTCAAAGGAGGTTCAAAATGTTTGAAAGGTCATAGGTTTAATTCCCACTAGCTACAATCTTTTTTTTCTTGAACCCCCTTCGCCGAGATCCTGCCTCCGCCACTGGTTATAGAGCACACTTAATTACTTGATTATGTTATGTCTCACCTTTACATTCTTTCTTCTAGCTCTGATTATATGTTCGTAACAGCTTTGTAATGTATCCAGGAGTTTGACAAGAAATATGGGGGTGGCTGGCAGTGCGTGGTGGGGTCAAAATTCGGCTGTTTCTTCACTCATACTAAAGGAACATTTATCTATTTCACCTTGGAGACTCTAAACTTCCTCATCTTTAAAGGAGCCACTTCTCCTTGATGTTGGTTGTTCAAGAAAGGTGGAAGATTGAGATGAAAACGGGACCTGTAATTATTCTTAGCTAGGTCATTCTTAATCTCTATCTCTGTCCAAGATCCCTCCCCTTTTTTTGGCTTCGATTTGTTTTTCACTTTCCACAAGCAAATATCTAGAGAGAAAGAAAACTAAAAAGGATAGATGATAATGTAAATACTGGCAGTTTCCATCTGCATGGATCTTTCACCTTTTTTCTTCTAGCTGCTAAGAAGTAAGAACCCTGTATCTTCCAGTGGAATTGCTTTTAAGTTCCTCGTATATCCATGATTAAATTAGTAACGTGTGGTGTTCTCAATATTTAGCCTCTATCTGTCACAGGAGCAGTTCACAGAAGCAAGGATATAGCAGATAGTTGATTGAATACTCAAAAGATGAGAAATTGGTCCTTACATTGAGCTGAAAGTTGCCTGAGATTCAATCACTGTATCTTGGGTCTCAAACTTCAATAGTTGGTGTGCTTGACTGCATACTCGTACTAAAAACATTCACAAGAGAGCTGGAGTGAACCATCCTCGTGGCGAATCGGGCATAATTCAAGTTCATTAACATGTTCGGGGGCTTATGAACTGACGAGAAGTGTACGCTTCATTGCGAGGGGGATCCAGACATTCTTTCTGAGAATCTGAAAACAGACATGTACTAGACGTTAAAATTTGACATTAGTTTGAACCTATTGATATATTACATCTCGATTTAGATGTTAGCTCAGTAGTGCTCAATTTCTGTATTGTTGAGCGAACTTACCTTATAATTTGCAATGCAACTACATACTCCCTCCGTTTTAATTTATGTGAACATGTTTGACTGGGCACGGAGTTTAAGAAAAAATGAAGACTTTTGGAATTTGTGGTCCTAAACAAGTCAAAAATGGGCCCAGAGTATTTGTGTAGTTATAAAAGCTTCTCATTAAGAGTATAATTGTAAGTTTAAGCTAAATTATTACCAAATTTAGAAAGGGTTCATTCTTTTTGGAACGGACCAAAAAGAAAATAGGTTCACATAAACTGGAACAGAGGTAGTACTATCTTCCGTTAATTGCTCAAGCACAGAATCTATAAGCAGAGGCGGTAAGGAAAAGACATTTCCATATTGTAAATAGTTTTGTTCAGTTTTTTGACTATATTAGCACCCTATGAAGTTTATAGAAGGTCCATTGTTTTCATGAACTAACTTTTTTCGCTATCGCTCGTAATTTAAGCATCTACTGGATGCAATTGTTAATGAAATTTCACTTTACCTAATAAAAAACAAGAACTTAAAAAGCATTTCCAAGTTCCAACTACAACTTATGCTTTTCAGATGCTTAAATTTAGAAGGAGACCAATCCTTGCTACATAGATAGCATGTTATTGAGCACCAATGCAGTATCCTGAATATAGAAGTGGAAGAATGCATGACAAAAAATGTCCAAGATCACCATACCTTATACCAGAAACTGTCAAAGAACAGGGGTCAGTAATGGCTTGTCCGAAAAGTGTGCCTCCAAGTTTGCAACCACGAGGTCAGCCATGTCCTTACGAGTCTCCAAAGTGCTAGCTGCCACATGAGGTGATAGGACAACATTATCAAGTCCAGCTAGTAGCACGGGCGCTTCAGGTTCACATTCAAGCACATCAAGCCCTGCTCCTCCCAATCTGCCTTCTGCTAGAGCAGATACCAGCTCAGATTCATCAATATGAGAACCCCTTGCAATGTTGATAACAACTCCATTTGGACCCAATGCAGCTATAACTTCACGGTTGATAATGTGGTGAGTTTCATCAGTTAAGGCACAAGCTACAAGGAGGATCTGACAGTTGGAGGCTAAGTTGATAACACGTGGATAATAGGTGTACGTTGACTCTGGTTTTCGTGAACGTGAATGATAACTGATTGAACATCCAAAAGCTTCAGCTCTTTTGGCAATTGCTGAACCAATTCTCCCTAATCCCACAATACCTACTGATTTGCCACTAAACTGGAAGAAAATTGAAGAGCAAACCAAGATAAGTTCTTTTGGAGAAACAAAACTTAGAAAGGGAAAAGTCAAAGGGTAATATGGTTAGATTTGGATCTGGACCAGCTTAAGTACTCCAAAAGAAGAATATGTTCAAAATACACAAGTTCATCGCGAAAAGCAGGCAATATGGTTGACTCAATTGCATCAGACCAGCTTCAAGTAAGGCATTTGATGAAAACGTGCAGAGGCGGATGTAGCCTATACTCTATGGGTTCAACTAAACCTAGTATTTTAAACACCGAACATAAATGTATATGTGAAAAAGAACTAAAATTTCAATAAACAATAATTTCAAAAGTACAATGAGTTCAACCTAAAAATTTTAACTAAACCTATAAAGTGTTATGAAATAAAAGCAATTTAGTAAAACGTAAATAATAAATACAGATAGAGGAGTTTTTCCTCTTCAATTATGTGTATTTACCCATCTATTATAAAGTCTGTATATAGGCATGAAAAGTGAAGAATCACTATTATAAAATAGTAGGAGTAATGGCCATTAAAATAGTGGGGGGAATAATCACTACACATTAAATGATGGGGCTCAACATGGACATCCATAACTATTATTTTCAACACTCCTTCTTGGATGTCCATGCTAAAAATAAAATTTCAAGTGAAAGGAAAAAGCACGTAGTTATTTGTTATACGCATTATGTGCTGCCTCATTAAAAACCTTACCAGAAAAATCCAGTGGGACAAAACCTTGGTTAAGGAAAAAAGAGTGCAGCGCGTAGTTACTCCCCCTGATAAAAATATCACTTAATGTCTCGAAGACGATGCATTCCAATCTTCTATATCAACTTTTCAAATGTTGAGGTTGGTAATGCCTTAGTGAACAAATCAGCCAAATTATCACTTGAACGAACATCTATTTCACCATTCTTTTGAAGATCATGAGTGAAAAAGAATTTCAGTGAAATGTGTTTTGTTCTATCTCCTTTCAGTTGAGTTATGCATGCAGCATTATCTTCATACAATATTGTTGGAATATTCCCTTTCGAAGAAAGACCACATGTTCCTGAATGTGTTGAGTTATCGATTCAACCAAACACATTCTCAACTTGCTTCGTCAATGGCTATTATCTCTACATGATTTGAAGAAGTAGCAGTTATAGTTTGTTTCGTTGAACGCCATGATATGGTTGTACCTCCACTTGTAAATAAATAGCTTGTCCAAGATCGACCTTTATGTGGATCAGACAAATATCCTGCATCTGCATAACCAATCAATGATGACTTGGATTCATTTGAATAAAATAAACCCATATCAATGGTCCCTCAGAGGTATCTGAATATATGCTTAATACCATTCCAGTGTCTTTGTGTTGGGGAAGAACTAAATCTTGCCAACAAGCTTACCGAGAAAGCTATATCTGGTCAGGAACTATTGGCAAGACACATTAATGCCCCAATTGCACTAAGATATGGTACTTCGGCACCAAGAAGCTCTTCATCATTTTTATGAAGTCGAAATGGACCTTTCTTTATGTCAAGTGATCTTACAACCATCGGGGTACTCAATGGATGTGCTTTATCCATATAGCATCGCTTTAAGATCTTTTCGGTGTATGTTAATTGATGAACAAATATTTCATCTTTCATATACTCAATTTGTAGACCAAGACAAAAATCTTGTCTTTCCAAAATCTTTCATTTCAAATTATTTCCTCAAACAGTCTACTGCTTTTGGAAGCTCCCCAGGAGTTCCAGTGATATTTAAATCATCAACATACACGGCGATTATAACAAATTCAGATCCAGACCGTTTCATAAAGACACAAGGACAAATTGCATCATTCTTGTACCCTTCTTTCAACAGGTATCCACTCAGGCGATTGTATCACATACGACCTGATTGTTTCAATCCGTATAAGGATTTCTGAAGCTTTATTGAACAAGTTTTACGAAAACTTTTATATGATTCAAGCACTTTAAATCCCTCAGGTATTTTCATAAAAATTTCGTTGTCTAATGATCCATACAAATAGGCTGTGACAACATCCATTAGACGCATTTCAAGCACTGTTATATTTATGAGATACCTGAAGGTGATAGCATCCACCATAGGAGAATATGTCTCCATATAATCAATGACAGGCCTTTGTGAAAACCCTTGTGCCACAAGTCGCGCTTTATATCTAACGACTTCATTTTTATCATTTCGTTTTCGCACAAAAACCCATTTGTACCGTACTGGCTTTATATCTTCAGGTGTTCGAACTATTGGTCCGAAGACTTCACGTTTTTCAAGTGAAGTTAATTCTACCTGGATAGCTTCTTTCTATTTTGGCCAATCATTTCTCTATCTACATTCATATACAGATTTTTGTTTGAAATCCTCATCTTGTTGCATTATTTCAACAACATTATACGCAAAAAATATTATCAACAACAATATCATTTCAACATTTTCCTCGTAGAGATATAACTTATTGAGATCTCTTCATTTTCATTATTTTCTGATACTTGGACCTCCCGTGAGGTCTTATCATTTGATATGTCTCGGGACTCCTCTTGAGCCATTACCTCCGTATTATGATCACCTTGATCATTTGCTCCCTTCGAGTATTTTTATCTTTAGAACCGATTGGTCTACCACGTTTCAAGCGTGGCTTAGACTCATTTGCATTAATTGATTGTCCTGTCGAGATATCAACTCGAATTGGAGCATTAGCAGCTGAAATATGTGACTTAGTCACCCTTGGTAGGTTAGTGAATGCATCTGGCAGTTGATTTGCAACATCTTACAAATGACTTATCTTTTGAACCTCTTGTTCACGTTGATTTATTCGATGATCTAAATGAGAAAGTGATAATGCATTCCAACCTATCTCTTTTCTCAGCTGCTTATTTTCTCCCCCTTATGTTGGGTATATTGATTCATCAAAATGACAATCAGAAAATCTTGTCGTAAATAAATCTCCAGATCTTTTATAATAAAAAGAGATTCATACCCAACATATATCCCAAACCTTCTTTGGGTACCCATCTTTGTGCGTTGTGGTGGAGCAATTGGAACATATACCGCACAACCAAAGATTCTAAGATGGGGAATATTTGGCTCTTGACCAAAAACCAATTGTAATGGGGAGATATTATGATAACTTGTGGGCCTTATCCCCACAAGTGTTGCTGCAAGCAAAATAGCATGACCCCATACTAAAATGGTTAGTTTTGTTCTCATAACATTTGTCTAGCAATCAATTGGAGACGTTTGATTAATGATTCTGCTAGGCCATTTTGAGTATGAACATGAGCAACTAGATGCTCAATTGTTATCCATGTTGATATACAATAGTCGTTAAAGGCCTGGGATGTAAACTCACCAGCATTATCAAGACGAATTGTCTAAATTGCATAATCTGAAAATTGTGCTATTAACCTTATTATTTGAGCCAACAATCTCGCAAATGTCATATTGTGAGTTGATAACAAGCACACATGTGACCGTCTTATAGATGCATCTATCAAAATCATATAATATCTGAATGGTCCACATGGAGGGTGAGTTGGCCCACATATATCACCCTGTATACGTTTCAGAAATGCAGGGGATTCCATCCTAACTTTAATCGTTGATGGTCTAATAATTAATTTGACTTGAGAATATGCAGCACAAGAAAATTCCTTAAATTGAATAATCTTTTGGCTCTTCAATTATTTTACGCATCATAGTAGAATCAGGATGGCCCAACCGGTCATGCCAAATAATAAAATTATTTTGATTAGTAAACTTCTTGTTTACTACGGCATGTGTTTTAATCCTGCTAATACTTGTGTAGTATAAGCCGGAGGAAAGAGCAGGTAACATTTCAAGCACATATTTCTTACCAGACATTATTGTAGTAATATAAAGATATTCAATCTTTTCATCATTTGCAGTTTCAATATGGTAGCCATTTTGGCGAATATCTTTGAAACTTAATAAGTTTCTTTTAGATTTACTACAATATAGTCTTCATCAATAGCCAAATTTGTTCCTCCTGGTAGCAATAAATTGGCTCTTCCAGAACCTTCAATTAATCTTGTACTACCAAATATTATATTAACATTGGCTTCTTTCATTACCAAATAAGAGAAATATCTTTTATCTCTTAAAATAGTGTGTGTTGTAGCACTATCCAGAAGACATATATCATCTTGAGTCCAAATGAAGACTACGGAATTTTCATATTCTTCATTAAAAAGAATCAAAAAGTACACCATAAGAAATATGAAAGACTAATAGAAAAAGAACATTAAGAATGTAGAAACTAGCAACACATTATGCATTACGAAAATACACTCAAGAAAAATAAACTAGTTGCAAACATAAATGAAAAACGACAACTTTTATTATAGCTTTATTCCCCGGTAAGATGATTAGTTCTTCAATCAATATCCTCAAAGAAGTCTCCAACTTCTAAATGAGTAATATTTGCAAGGCCTCCAAAATCATCATCTTTATTATGCAAGATGTGCCTCGGAATAATATTTGTTTGAGGGACCTGCTTCATCATCATTATTTTGAAAGGTCAAGTGTGCCTCCACATTATTTTCTTTCTTTCTTAGGGAGGCTTGATAAAGTTTGACAAAATGATCTAGCGTACGACAAATGCGTGCCCAATAACCTTTCATACTACATCGGTGGCACATATTAACTTTACCTTAGGATTAATTTGAGAACCCTTATTGTTCTCCTATTTATTTTCACCATGATGACGATAATTATTGCATCCCCTGCCACGTCCACGTCTACGACCATATCCACGACCACGGTAATTATTATTTTTTCTTTCAGACTTATCATATGCTGCTACAACATTCACTTCCGGGAATGGAGCTGACCCAGTGGGACGAACTTCATGATTTTTCATTAATAGAGTATTGTTCTGCTGTGCCACAAGTAGGCATGTGATTAACTCAGAATATTTCTTAAAGTCTTTTTCACGGTATTGTTGTAGTATCACATTTGA